AGAAGGGGAGCAGGAGATAAGGTTGGAGACAGCCACGTTCCTGATCACGGAGGGCCTTAGAGGCTGGAGTAAGGACACTGGATTTTATTCTGAGTCTGAAGGGAAACCACTGGAAGATTTTAAGCACAAGAGTAACAAAATCAGACCCGCATTTTAAATGATTCACTATGGCAATGACCTCCAATGAATTATGTGACTCCAAGGTTTCCTGAATTTAATCATTCTAATAGTAACAGAAGAACATTTAAGTATCTGGGAAATGGAAACAATGCATCATGATGGCAGACTGCAGCATTTCTGACTGCTTAGAGGAGGTTGAGCATGGAGCCGGATAATAAAGTTGCTACACTCAAAACAGCAAAGCACGTACTGCAGGGGAGCATTCCATTTGTGTTTATTGATTTCACATATGAAGTGTTGTGAAGAAATGTTTAAGAAAGAATTGACAGTGATTTTGGAATGTTGAAAAAAAAAACCAGTGAGGAATTATGACTCCAGAAGGGAATGCTTGGGACACCAACAATGTCCGATTCTAGAGAGGAATGGAACACCGAAAGGAGGCTGGTGGGTACAGGGGGCGGTAACATCACTGTGACTGGTTCCTAGTGAAGATCTGTCTGAATACCACATATAGATGTTCCAGAAACACCCAAGGTTCCATTAAACACCAAGGGAAGGAATTACATGAACAGAAGTAAATAATGTGAGTACTCTATGAACCAAAAGTCAAAAGAGAGATGAAATTGTTTCCACATGGCAATCTGTGTAGATATGAGCTTGAAATTTTTCAGGGAAGAACGGAAAACTGGAGGAACAAAACCAGGACTTTGAGCCATGTCCTATCACTGAGAGTGACGAGGAGTGTCATTTACTTTTCAACATGGAGACATCCTCTGTAGCAATACAAACTGGAATAGCAGACTGTCAAACTCTAAGTTTACCTAGTCTCAACTGCAAAACTAAGGAGAAAGATAAAGGGAAAAACAAAGGGAGGGGGCAAAAAATGGTGTGTGTTTGGGGGGTGGTGGTGATAGGGAAGAAAAACCATTTAATCAGTCAAAATTGCTTCAATTTAATCACATTTATGGAAATCTAGGTTTCTTTTCAGGAAAGCTAAGTAATTTTTAGAATAGCAATATTTTTCAAGTGCCAGTCTTAGCCTTGGCAAGGAAATGGTTATAACTGAAGATACAAAGCAGTGTAGAAGAATTCAGAAAGAAACCAAATCTCTGGAAAAAGTGAGGCTTTTTTTGGTTCATTGTAAAGGAACATAAATTAGTTTCCAACCCACAATCCCCGCCTACCCCCGGACTTCCCAGAGTCCTGTGCAGCCCATAGAAAGTGGAAAGTGTGCCAAAACAAACAGTGTGGGCTGAAGCTCTGTGGATGAAGGGTGGGATGAGGTTTTGGTGGAACTGGCAGGCAACCGAATGGAATCACTTTAAAGCAATGCCACAAAATGGAGACTAAAGAATCACCCAGGACTTCTAAAATTCACAGAAAATGGGACACGCTTAGCTAAATCATGGAATAGAGTTCCTACTTCAACTCATTTCAAAAAAAAAACAAGACAGCAAAGATAGGAGAAAATGAACAAAGCAAAACATACCTGCTCTCTTATCTGTCTTTAATTAAAGCATAAAATACCCTCCCTCTTCTCTTCTCCCAACCACCCTGGAACAGAAGAGCGAACTGGCAGCACCTCAGGTGAAAGACTTCAGCCTTCCAGCTACAAGGAGGGGAGATAGCAGACAATGGAACTGGTGATTCATTACAAAAGAATACACTCCAGAGCGGCCTGCTGCCACATGGGCTCACTGCACTATTTAAAGGAACAGCAACCCCCTTTCCAATCTCCCTTCTTCTTAACACCTTCCCTCCTCTTGGTCCTGATGGAAAACAGATTTTGAAGAAAATGCCAGCAAAGCACTGAGCTGTCCAAGAAAGGGAGGGCTTTGTGTTCCACAGAAGCTGGCAGTCTTACACTATAGCAGAGTGCAAAAATTTTCTTTCACATCCATAGGGTAAAATCTTTTCCTCTCTGTCTAGTATACTTTCCCTTACAACAACAAATAGTATAACTGAGTCTGAGTCCGGCTAAACATTTTTTTATTAATTGGAGCTGAAGTCATTTGCAATTGTTTTCTAATTTTACACATATTATGAGAATGATTTCTCCTCTTTTCCTTCCTTTTATTCCACATTGTTACTTTCATAGATGTGAGGAGATAGAATAATGTGGTTCACATGTTCAGAAACAAGAAAGTATCTCAGTGAAATACTCCTACAACAAATGCATAAACAACAGATAAACCTAAAGTTATTTTAAAAAGTCACATGAGCATGTCTGTCTACTATGTTAGAATTTTGTGATTAAACTGCCATTTGCTGTTTTTTTTTTAAAGCAAAGCAGCGATTACTTATTGCAAATGATGGAGCAGTTTGTTAATTAAACCAAAAACAGGCCTTATAGAACTAGAGCATATATAATAATAAAGAGCACACACTGGGCAACTACTGATATGGATCTAATATGGTATGATGAAAATGTCATCCACTGAAAGCCCTTCGCCCTTCTTCCACTAAGTGAGCAATGGAAATTAAGGGATATCCAGATGTTAAGATCAGAGATGCGAAGAACCTAGGTGACAAAATGGTGATAACATATCTAATCACCTTTCTTAATATACTAGTCAAGACACTAAATACCACTCAACTTTGATAACCAAACTCTAAACAGTGTAGACATTCTATATTCACAAAGCTTACGTGACAGATCATTATCAAATATTGGGATTAGATGCCTAGCTCAGAAAACAAAAAACCAAAAACAAAACAAAACCCATAAGACAAATAAAGATTTGGCCCATCTAGTTATTTCCTTTTTTTCCCCCCCAGATTACTAACAACTACGTATGTTATATCAACATAGAAAGTGTACACACCAAAACAAATATGCTGGAATACTGAAAATTCACCAGTTTGATATTCTATACTTTCCAGTTGTATAAATTCAGGATGGGCAAGAATGAGTTACTTCTTCCCTTCAGCATTCAGCACATCCTGAGAAAGTCATAATGATTTTAATTTATCTATTAGAATTCTTAACCACCAAGAAATCCCTCTTTCCAGTTTCTATCTCTTCAGCTTCAATCCTAAAATTATAGTTTCCTTAAATACCAATATTAAGACCACAATATTAAGTATTTATATGCATGTGCATTCTAACTTGTGCTCACACATGCTTAACCAGCTCCTCTAGAAACTAAAGGGACATGTTCCAAAAGGCTGAAAAACCTCTGATTATAAAAAGTCCTAATTTGGATAACTCTTTCACTGATTTAAAAATATATATAATGAAAAGTCAAGTAGTTGAAAAGCCCTCAGTAATAGCTGAGACAGAAGAGAGCTGACACCCTCTAATATTGCCAGTTAATGAAAATTGAATGAGGGCTCCAAGGTTAAGAAGTATCACCTCCCAAGCAACAAAGAGAGTCCAGAAATAGGTTTTCTCTTTTATGGAAATCTTTTAAAAGTAAAGCAATATTTCAAGAGTTAATCAGGCTGACGATGCAGGGACAAGCAGTGGAAGAGAAAATATTTCAAGGGTTTCTCTATTTCTCAAAAGAGGGAGGGTTTTCTTGATAATCTCCAAACTCAGATCTGGTGAAAAATTACTTTGGAAAGATATATTCTTTGAAACTTCCCTTCCCTCTAGGTCACGTTGGGAAAAATCTCCCTAACGCTTTCCCTCTTTCCAAACAGCACTGCAGGGCATTATATAACATGGAATGGAACAGGGTTCCAGCTCCTAAAACGATGTCTCCATCCAGATAAGCTAGACGACTCTCTCGCCCTCCGGTGGTGACTTGGAGAGAAGAGAAGAGAGAATACAAAAAAAGGGCAACCTCCTTAAAAGGAAAGCACTGTCCAGTGATGAAATTTCCCTACAGAGCATAAAAGCCTGAAGTGAAACTGATCCTAAGTCTGAGACTAAAAGACACGAATGTTCTACAATGCAAATAATTTCTCATTGACAAATCACAGCCTCATCATTCCCTCTCAATCTACACATAAAGAAAAAAGGGTAAAGGAACCTACGGAAGGGTGCCAACAAGAAAAATAGCACTGCCGGGGAAACCATGGAAGAGTATTCACCTTTCCATTTGTCAGGAATGACTTGCTAAAATGCTGATTAGATATTGCCTGGCATAACCAAAGACAGGCAGAGAGAGAGCTAGAGCGAGAGAGATCTTCCATTTCCTACTCCCTCTCCTTCAAATGCCTTTTAATGCCCCTGTGATTGCCATTTATACATTCAGATCTGTTCTCCTATCAGGGAGGGCTCTACCTGCCTTTGCTGCACCTGGATGCTCCTATGGTTCCTACTGAAAACATTCTTTGCCAATAACAAAGTCATGAAAATGAAATATATTACCCTAGCCTTCATTTTTAATAAGCCATTTAAAGCAAAGGCAGCAAAACTGCAATTCCATAGCCAATCCTGAGAAACCAAAGTGAATCAGGAATCAGATGTCCCTACAACACAAATTCTTCTGCAATTCTTAAAAGGAAGTCAATCCCTTGTCCCTCCTTTTGGTAGTCTACAAGAATCTCTTCCTACCTCTGCAGTCTCTCTCCCTCCCTCTTCTCAGAACCAAGACAAAGAGGTAGACAAATCCCCACAGGGTCTTTCCTGAGCTACAGCTGCACAGTACAGGAAACAGGAATCTGCTACAGAGCGAGGGAGGGGGTGAAAAAAAGGATACGGATACATCTCTCTCTCTCTCTCTCTCTCTCACACACACACACACACACACACACACACACACGGACTCACAACAGACACAGACTAACACTTTTCAGCTGATAACAATAAATCTGGCCTTTTCTAAGAAGACAGTAACAATTAAAACTCTGCTTACTATACCCCGCCCCTATATGTTTATTTAGATCCCAGGAACGACAAAAGAAACACAGCGAGGCAACACCAGTCTTACCTGAGTTACCATGTTCTTTTTCTCCATAAACCGAACGGAATAGCTGATGAGCCCGTCACGGCGGTCGTGCCGGGGCACGCCTCCACAGCCTTCTCGTCCACCCCCCTCCCCCCCCCCAGTCTAGCTATTTAAGGGTGGGTAATTGGCCTCCCTTTATCCCGTTTTCCTTCCTTTTTCTTTCTAGTGTTTCTTCCTTTCTTTTCTCTTCCTCTCTGGCAGTCTCTCCCCCTCCTTCCTTCTCCAGCTCCCTCCCATATCTCAGGCAGATGGCTGAAGGAAGCCCCACCCCTGAATGCCTAAGGTAATTAATCAGAGGAGAGCCCCACCTCTTCCTCCTCCCCCCACCCCCTCCCAGCAGGCTGACATCTCCCAACTCCAGAAACGGACCTGCTGGAGAACGGCAGTGTGGTGTGTGCTTTGCGCAGGCGTGTGTGTGTGTGTGAGTGTGTGTGTTTGTGTGAGAGAGAGAGAGAGGAAGGGGGAGAGGGGGAGAGGGAGAGAGGGAGAGAGGGAGAGAGGAAGGGGGAGA